GTCGTCAGGGACCTTACTAGAGAGAGTGGCGCAGCTGCCGTAGTCGCTCATCCACATCTTTCACGGTCTCATGCACCTGCTTTAGACAAGAGATGCGGCCATTAGAGACATTAAAATCAATTTCATGACTTCTGAAATGAGCAGTCGAGCCGCTACCTGTTGTGGTTCCCAAGATACTAAGGAATGAGCGGGAGGTTCTCGAAACCCTCGCTTAGGGTTGAGCGAGGCGGAGAGGCGCCGTCGCTTATTTTTCGGAAAACCGAGCGACGAAAATAATTGTTGGGACATTTGCCGAGCTGCCGAGCACGCGCGCCAATAATTTGTGCCAGTCGCCTAGGGACGGTGAGCCTTTCGAAAGATTACGCAAATTCTGCTGACATAGACACAAATCCCGCTGACGTAGTATATATAAACGGTAATTACAAGATAGCCGATAATCACCCAACCCGATAATCCGCTTGAGAAAGGCTCCCGTCCCTTAGGCGCTGGTCAGGAGTCTGGGTTTAGGCGGGTATGGGCAGGAAGTTCGTGTGTAAAGCCCTCCCAAGACCTTTTCTACCTCTCAGTAATGAGGGTGAGCACTTGTGGCGATTTTATATTGAGAGGACTTGCCGTCTCCAGGATGCTTACTACAAACACACCGGATCATACCATGCATGTACTCGGACACCATAGGCTCTTTTCTGGGTAAGTAACTTGCTGCCTATCTGCTTGCTACATATCAAGGAATATCGCCGCTTGGCCTAGGATTTACGTCGTTCATAGCCTATCAAGCCCAAGGTAGCCATGATGCATACGCATATTCAGGTACTTGCTGTTCAGAAGACAGGTATTTGGATACCTTCTTTGGTGATAACGCTACCAACTGATCAGCTAGTTATGAAACGTGGCAATCGATCCGAGCCGGGTCATTTGAGCAGGAGCAAGCCAGAGGCCGGTGATATCAAGACGCGACCCTTCGGGCCAGTAAAAGTGCGGAATGTCAGGAAATGAGACTGCAGGTGAAACCTGACGCACGAGAAGATTATTTCCCTCCTTCTCTCGGTTTGCATCCCTCGAGCATACGTCTGAGGCAACGAGACAACCGCGACCAACCTACGGCCTAGACAATCTCGAAACGAAAACACTTCTACATCCCGTTCAATGCCAGCGTGTGTCTGATGTTGGGGCCCTCGACCGCCGTAGACGTCCCAGCAGCAATTCGAATGTACACAGATATTTGTGTTCGTTCGGTATGTGAAGGCTGCATGGCTTGCGAATGCCACTAGTACCATGCGTAGGGTATTGCTGAAGCCACTTTTGATACCATCGCGAGCTGTGAAATGACTTTGACGAACCTCAGACTTTTGAGTACTGTCCAATATCTCGGTGACCACCCAATGCGCGAGGCACAGGACTATCAAACGTGCACCTGTATGTCTCCCATCTCCCCCTCGATACGGTTCGGCCTGCGTGCAATCTGACGACCGTTTCCTCTCCAGGCGCCACCAAGGCAATACGGCTAGGCTCAATATATTTGACTCATGTCGCGCTCATGCAACACGTAAGTTAACAAATTGCGCCACTGTCACCACTTCAGCGTACCGCACTGTACTATGGCGAGTACGTCTTAACTAGTACTCATTGAGAGGGCTCAGGCCCTTCGCGTCGCTGATGCTTCAGTTTTTCTCTCTGCACAATGTTGCACGTCGAACGAAAACCTCGTTCATCGCTAGGGGCCAAATTTCTGTAATTGCATGCCCGGGCCATTCCAAATATCTCGCCGCCACTGCACGTAATTTGCGTTCCACTGCCAGCATGACGCGGTCACTTCCAAGCACGCGGTCTTGGGACATCACGCCAGGAGGCATCCACGATTCAGATCTTATTGAAACCATTCGCTTAGCTACCTCTAGGTGGTCTCACCCCCGGGGTCCTCAGGTACACTACCATATACAGTAATTTAATCAAAGAAGCGCATTTAGTGCCCACTTTTGGCTTGAGTCGAAGCTCGCCGTGTTGAAGCTCTTTGTCTGTCGTGCTCTCGACTGGGTTACTGGGTGCTCTGTTGGCTGGTCTGCAGGACCCAGGGCTTCATATGCCCGACCATATCTCTCTTCCTAGTTTCACGGAATTAGTTACCTCCTCTCTCCCCAAGAACGACTCAGACCAGAATGCGGCACTCAGCATTCTAAACGCTGTGCCGTCGACTTTCCGTGCAATTAACACCTTCGTCCCCCTCACCGTGCCTCTAGAACGACATATCAATGGTCATTCCAATCACTACGGACTACAATCATGCCCGACCTCCTCACGAGAGAAATTTGGAACTTTTTTGTTATAAAAAATATGCGAAAACAGCCTGAAAAAATAAGTAAGAAAATAGCCATATTTTTCCT